TAATTAGAAATTTTGCTGAAATTTTACCTTTCATCTTTGCTTTCACCTGATAGTTGTTGTCTCGTAAAGTCACTATAATTCTCTGATCGTGTCAATTGTATCTTTCTCTTTATATATATTCTCCACGAATTTTTTTAACAGATTATCTATGCATGGCCAATCGCTTATCCATGTTGAGATCTCGTGATAAGAATTCGATATTCTGGAACAACAGAAACATACACACTACGAACAATCGTTACATTCGATTATCATGTAATTTCCTCTAATGTTATTATATATCTTATACTTCTCTGCGTATATTTGTCTTTTGTTATTTGATAATCTTCCGCAGTTCTTCCGTTTCCTTTACGATAATAAATTTTCGAGAAACGTTTGAGAAATAACTTTTGAAATTTTTCTTTCCTGGAATTTTTAAAAAATATTTATATTTATATTTTTGTTGATATTTATATTTATATTTATGTTCATAGAAAAATTACAATCATGTGTTTCATGCAATTAATTTAAAATTTCAAAATTGATTTTTAATATATAGTGGGAATAAATCCGTTTATATATAAACTCGTCGGGGGACAAATAGTTTATATAATCGAAATTTGTACTATTCTTCATTCGCATAATAGGAATTTCGGTTCAAAAATAAATTGGATTCGACCAACTAGATTTAACTGCGTATTGATTAACAATTTGGTTTCGAATAAATGCATTTTGTCAATACAATAAAATAAACTAGACGACTTCTCTATATTGCACAAACATGAAAACAATTATGTTTCTATCCGCTGCAATTTCAGAAAATTTCGAAAGATCATTTACATTAGTCTGGAATTTCTTATTTGTCTTTGTCTTACATCTTTTGAAGAAAGAGACGCTTCTAAAGCTTGCAACAATTACAACAAATAAATAATATTTTTCCGGCTCATTTTCTCGACTTTGATCTGAACTGAATTGCTTCGAAACGAAAATGTAATTTAATTTGTTAATGGTAAAATAAATAGACTGCGGATTTCTATGCGTATTTTCGAAGAATACGTGTAACGGAAGAAACAAAAACTGCGGTAGAAATTTATTTACACTTGTTGTAACTTACTTTCAAGAAGATTACGTTAAAAATCATAGTAGAGAAAATTATAATAATAAACTGAAGTGTACGTGAATTAAATAATAATTTGAAAGTTTCACAGGAGAATTAATTGAAATAGGGAAAAAACTGTTCACCTGGAACTTAACTTCATATAGTTACGAGTCATCATTAGAACGATAATACTTTGATTTTCTAATAAGTGTTACAGTGAAAATGATCCATAAAAATTGGAGACAAGAGAAAAGACATTGCAGCCATCTCTCTCATATCAAATCATTTGTAACACCGCAACACGGTTGTGATTTTAAGGGATTAAACATTTATTCAACTAAATCGTAACATGAGAGAAAGATAAAATAATTGTATTTACAAAACACAATAATGGTACATAACTCTTAAATAAATGTTAATCATGCCATTGTACTTAAGCACTGGCAATAATAATTTTGTGAATAACGAATTCTCACGGCCAAAATTTCGATTTCTTTTCACCAAGACTTATCACCAATTTTTCAACAAAATTCATAACGACGAACGTAATTAATATAGGTAAAATACGATAAGTAAGGCGAGAAAATTTAATATGTATAACTCATTTAATATGTATGTTATACTTGTAGCATAAATAATTGTCTAGCAAAATTTTGTAGGATCATTGTAAAAATAAAATTACAATCTTCAAGATCATGGTGAGATCAAGTAAAAAAAAAAAAATTTTCAATGTTTTTAGAGACGTTTGAATTGTGATATATTTATTTAAATTTACTTAGCAATTTTTCAATAATTTAGTAATATATTTTTTACCTTGTCTGTAATAAATTCCAATAATAATTGTATTTGTAATAAAGTACTTTGTAATATTGTTAAACACTTCACTACTGCGTCTTGTCTAATCCACCAGGTATTTATGACAAAATTCGATTTCGTTGTGCCTTATATATCACTATGGTGCGTTTAAACCGAACGAACAATGCTCGTTAACTTCCCTCCTCCTGTGACTAAATTCTTGCTCATTTATTATATTAATAGTCGTTTAGTATAAGAATGCGATAGGAAGACATTGTAATCTGAAGATTAAAATACACTTTTGTCATGGTGACAAAATAGTTTAGATCTATTATAATACGATCACTATAATAAAGTGCGAATATTAAATAAAATATTACCAATGTCTACTAAAATGTGCAGATTAAAGTGTAAAAAATGAAAGTAATGTGTAAAAACATATAAAATATCCAATATGCGATAACTACACTTCATCCCAAAGTTCCGAAAGACAACCGCGTAATTTACTTACACGTCGTTCTGATGGATTCGATACGCATTTCGCACGCAAAACTCGAGATAAGTCGGATCGTTTTTTGAAGTTGCGTAGATCTGAAAATTATCGAGGGACGACAAGCGAAAGTTTCGCCGATGTTTCCAATTGCTTGGAGAAGTTTTAAACGTCTTGCATCCCGTGGAACGTAAGCTAAACTTTTCAGACGCTTTAATAGATCCACAGAATATCTCACGGATCCCTTTCCCTTTGTTCTGCCGATGATTACACTTTCGATCGAAGTAATTCGCCACGCCAACGTGTAACTGTACCAGACAAAAATCGAGAAGCTTCTATTCGATTTCGATTAGTGAAAAGAACATCGTTCGCTTCGATGCATCTCAATTTCTTCGCGTCAAATTAATTCTTTTCTTTTTTCAACATTTTCAGCGATAAAAGAAATGTGTATTTTTTTCATCCTCACTGTGAATATGGAAAAACATTACTTTCAATAGGGGGATATAAAAATATTTAGTTATTCTGTGGGAATAGTTATATTATCACACAGTTCATTTGACAATCTTTTAAGAGAAATTTCTATGGAATTAAGCACAGAGCAATTTTATTTCAAAATCTATCTAAATTTAACCTATCAACATCGACATTAAAATAATATAAGATTGATAATTAATATTTTTTCCGTACCAGTTGTACAATAAAATCATATAGCAATAAATATAATAAAAATATTGCCGCGATTCTATTTAATTAATTATATATTTAGTTATATAATATAATGATTATAACATGTAACAATATTCGTCTCAGGACAAATGTACACAATTTTGATATGAGAAAACTACGTTATACCAATACATATCCTATTATCAATAAATATTCATTTATCACTCAAAGTCGTATACATTAATTCAGAACTATCTAATATAAATAATATATATTAGCAATTTATTTCATACAGTCAGAAATCTTTTAACTTTCTATTCATTACTAGAGCTACAATGCTATCTGAACTTGGGGATTCTGAAGAGCCACTTGAACTTGGAGGCTCTGAACTGCTAGATGAACTTGGAGGTTCTGAAGAACTTGGTGCACTAGATGAACTTGGAGCTGCGGGGGAGCTTGGTGCGCTAGATGAACCTGCAGGTTCTGGAGAACCTGGTGCA